TAATAATCAACTAGACATTATATAAGAAAGTGATTTTTCTATAAAAACGATAATATATTTAGAAGATCTAGATAAAATTATTGGATGTTCTTCGAACTGTATGTATATGGTCCCTAATATTAATATTTGTCTCCAATGGGATATAATTGGAAGTGATATAGAATTTTATAATAGAGAAAATAAAAAGGTTAGTAAAATTTCATACAAATACCTAATGTTATAACATAATTATATTAGATTTTTAAATCATTTCATAAACTTCATCTTAAACAAGTAACATGTGCATGTTTTATAGAGCCATATACATTAATAACTGGAAGTAATGATTGTATTATTTATATATGGTCTATAATACAGGGAAAAACAATAAATTTAAAACTAAAAAATTACCTAAGAGGTCACTTTAAGCCCATTATATCTCTTGATTCATCAAAATCGTTTAGTATTATTGTTTCTGGATCAGAGGTTTTAAATATCATATCTATTATTAATTATTGAAAAGAATAGGACGGTTTAGTGATAGAATGGGATTTAAATAGAGCATGTTATGTCCGTACATTAGAAAAAAGTAATAATCCTATACAGGTATTTTAAACAACAAATATCTGATGTTCTTAAACTATATTTAGTGTATTTCAATAAATGATGCAAATGGAGATATTGCAGCATGTTCAGAAATGACAATTTCTATATGGACTATAAATGGTGATTTATTATTACGCCAAAATATTGGATTTAGTCAAAATGATATAATATTTAGTTGTAAGTTTTATGAAGGAATTAATTATGAGTGGTTAGAATGTGATCTAATATTTACTGGGCATAATTTTGGAATTGTACAGGTATTAGATAACAATTTTTAAATATAAATCTTATTCTATATAGATATGGAATATTTCATGGAAAACCAAAAATGGAAAATTAATCAGAGAACTCATAAATATTAAGACTTTGCAACATTATGACTATATAAAAGACTCTTTATTAGTATCTAAAATAACTGCATTATATCCTTCTGGAAAAACACGTTCATTATTTACTGGAGATAATCTTGGAAATGTCTATATATGGAATCTTCCTGATACTGTATATAAATCTCACTATTTATCAAGTGAGGAATATAATAATTGTTTTATATGTAAAACAGCATTTGCAATTATAGGTAATTATGTTTTTTTCTAATTTTACCTAACAATTTCAAGATCGAAAATATAATTGTCATCCTTGTGGTGCATTATTGTGTTCTAATTGTATTCATCAACATTCAAAAATAGGAAGTACAAAATTGTGTATTAATTGTATTTCATCTCTAGTTTTTACATAGTTTTTTTAAATTTACAAAAATACTTAAGGATGAATCAGCAATTTAAGTGTATTAGAATATAATCATTTAAATATTATTCTATAAAAAACTATTTACCATATTACTAAATAATTAAGTTTTTTAAAAGTTAATTTAAGCTATTATATATTATTTGAAATTAACCATAAAATATTAATTAAATGAAATTCATATAAACTATTTAATTTTTTTTCTAAAACTTTATAAAACTAAAAACTTTTTGAAAAAACTTGCTTGCAAAAAAAAACAGAAAACAATTATTATAGAAACTTACTAATTAAACTATATTTTTGTTTATGAATATTTATAAAAATTACATAAACTAATCAATTTAAATTACTAAATAATTATAAATGAGTAATATATTAAAAAATACTAAAATTTCAACAATATAAACTTTATAAAAATGTTAAATATATCAGTCATAAAATATAAAATATCAAAAAATTATTTAATCGAAAATATTCCTTAAAATATAGTCTTTATTCTATTATAAATAATACAAAAAATATAGAATTATAGTTAAAAATTATTTATAATAATACCAATTTATTCATAATAAATATCAAAAACCAAATAATATAAAGTTATTCTATTAAAAATAATAACAGTAATAATAATAAAATTCAATGCTATTATAAAACTATTCAAAATTTAAAAAAAAATCATTTAATATCTAATTATATTTTTTTATAGATTTTTTTTCAAATATTCTCATTATTTTAAATTTTCAATAAATATTAATAAAATCTAAACTATCTAGATATTATCTTTAAATAGATTTTTTACTGCAATAAAAATATTTCATTCTTATTTTCTATTTTTAGATAACAATTAAGTTTTAAAATATCTTAACGATCTCGCATTTTTAACAAATATTTATAATTCAGTATTTCGTAAAAAATAAAATAGCTTTAAATTTCAATTTAATATCTAAAAGTTATAAAAAAAACGTATGATTAAGAAATTTTATTCTAATGATTACAAAAAAATCTAAAATACAAAATACTAAATTTCAAATATATAGATATATATATTTATCAGCCAAATAGCATTAAAAATCAAACTCATATGATAAATATAGACATTGATAGTGAAGATGACAAAATAGATGATAAAGATACACTGTCATCAATAAATGGCAATGGTAAAAACTATTATTTAAATATATATTTTTTCTAATAATACAAGGTTCTTCTGAATTTCTTCAAAATCAGGACCTGAATTATGAAGATGATGAAATAGATAGATTTTCCGAAAATCTAATATCATCAGAATCTGACTCCAAGTGCACATCAAATAAATCTCTTTCTACTAAAAAAAATCATACTGATAATTCCCATGCTATTCAAGCAAACTCTTATGATATTATTCCAACATTCACAGCACCACATTCTACTAGTATAAATATAATAACTGCAACTTCATGTATGAGATGGATATTTACTGGAGGAAATGATGGATATATCAGGAAATTCGACTTTTTTTCTAGTATCAATGGAAAAATACCTCTTACTGTTGCTCAAAGACATCCTTTTGTAGATTCAGTAGTAAATGTAATTCAAAAAATTGTAATATTTTTATTTTAATATTTTCAGGCAGGTGTTTTATTATCTTACTGGGAAAATAATGACTCTCAAAGTTTCTTCTTTCATTCTCATATACATTTCTTATATGTCTTAGATTCACTAACATCTATATCAACGAATTCTTATCATAAACTATCACCAGTATATTGTTTAGCAGTTAATAAACAAGCCTTATGGATGCTTTCCGGAATTGATGTAAATAACATTATTTTTAATTTATATTAATTTTTAATAGACAGGTGTCATTAATTTGCAAAGCGTAAGACATGATGAAGGAAGAATTCTAGCAACCATGAAGAAACATATATCTCCTGTTTCTGTTCTAGAACTTTCATCTTGCGAAACAAAAGTTTTAAGCGGAGGATGGGATAAAAATGTATATGTATAATTTATAAAACTGTTATAAATAATCTTAATAAAATAGGAATGGGATCTTAATACTGGTGTAGTTTCTCGATCTTATGATAATCATACAGGTCAAATATCTACTATTGCATACAGACCAATATTTCCAATTACAATTACATCAACATCAAATTCTATAAAAAATGAACCTGAAATTGACCTGAAATCAGAATTAAATAAAACAAACAATTTGTTAAAAGATTTTTCTGACTCAATATTTGATAATAAAAGAGTAAAAAAGAAAAATATATCTAATTCTTTTAAAAATATCAACGATTATACTAATGACTCTAATTTAAACAACGAATTGATTCAAAATAAGAATGAATTTATTGTTTCCGGAATTGATGGGAGTATAACTATATGGGATGAACGACAATTAAAACATATTGCAAAACTAGGAATACCTAATGGCACCCCACCATGGTGTATGAATGTAAAAAAAAAAACATATATCATTAATATAATAACTTTAAATTTAGGCATGCTGGTCGGCCGATGGAAAATATATATATGCTGGAAGAAGAAATGGAACAGGTATTATTATTTTTTATTTATAATAGTTAAATTATTTAGTGGATGAATTTTCAATGTACTCTGCTCTGGATAAACCATTGCGCTCTATTAAGCTTCCTTTAAATTCAGGTCCTGTATCTGCAGTTCATTCAATGCCTAATGGGAAACATCTTATTTGGTATGTATTTTTTAATAATATTGACTAGTATTTTATATTTTTCCAGTGCATCTTACGACAATATTAGAATATACGATTTAAACGGATCATCTAAAATACCTTTTTTAATAATACCAGGCCATTATGGCGGTGTTATATCATCAATATGTATTATTATAGTATATATATGAATTTCTTTAACGACAATAGATATTGATAATACATACAAATATATGCTTACAGCAAGCGGAAATCGTGGTTGGGATGGTAATTATACAGAAACCCTCTTGGGATATGAAATAGAATGCTTATAATGAACATTTAATATATATAAAATTATTATAAAAAATCTAAATATTTAAATATAAAATACTAAATATTTATTTAATATCATTAAGTTAAATATTTATTTAGAATTTATACAATAGAAAACCATTAATTTACTATTAAATGATTTTAGATTATCAAAATATCTTTTTATAAAAATCCTAACTTTAACAATAATTCAATAAAATATTGAATATTTAAAACAAAAACACCAGAGATATTTCAATGCTATATTCTTAATATCTTTTTAAAAAAATTCATTAAATTATTTTTTATATATAAAAATTAAAACTTTAAATCAGCAATATTTAATAGAACTTTAATATTTCTTAAATACTTTTAGAAAGCAACAAAAATTAAAAATACATAAAAAATAAATATATAACTATCATAAATATGATCAAAAAACATTATAGATAATATCAATAAATATATTTAATTTAATGTTCAACATGAAAAAAAACTATTAAAAATCATACAAATTATATATTAGTAAAAAATTAAACTATCGTAATTAAATAATTTAATAAAAAACTGATACTAAAAATACCTATCCTAAATATTTCAAAAATAAGGTATAAAATGTGATAAATCCATGAAATTATTCATTATGGAATATTTAAAATCCAAAAACAAATTATTACATATATAAGTTTTAAATTTCTCATTTATCAATACCAATAGAGGCATTTCCACGAAACCTCTTTCTCATATCAAGCTAAAAAAAACTGAACAAAAAGACCGAAATAACAATTATTCTAACCATTCCTCTTTTACAATTATATAAACTCCTCTTTAAAAGATGGCACTGTAAAGGTACAAATTCTAATAATTCGGAATTGGATAAACATTCTTTTGCAGAATTTCCATTTTTCATACAATCTGAATTCGAAATACATAATGCTAAAGCTTTTCGAATGTCATTACATGAACTTGGCATAATTAAAATTCTATATTTTTTTCGAAAAAAATCTTGAATATTAAATCGTAAGATATTTTTATAAATTTTTAAAAGTTCAATTTTATATTTTTACATATATCACCCCTTAAAATCTCATAAAATATATTAAATACATTTTATACTTTAAAAGCATTCTATCACATTTTTTTTAAATTATAAATAATTCTAAAGATTTTAAGGTAAAAATAATAATTTATATAAAATGATTCTTTTAAGAAAATATTATGAAAAACATATAACAATATATCATTAAAAAGTACACAATAAACCATATACGTTTTTTAGTATTTAAAAATATATAATATTTTTTTATAGTATTATTTAAGCTATTTACACAAAATACATAAAAATATTATTAAATTCTAAAAACATAACCAATAAAACATAAAAATATAAAATTATTGTTATGTATATAATTTATTTTAATAGAATTAATAAAAATATTGTATAATAAAAACTTTAAAAAATCTAAAATAATTAAATACGTTTGATATTTAATTATAATTTATACTTAATTTATAATTTATTATTTTCAGATATATCTCTAGAAACAATATATAACAAGGAAATATCATTTAAATAATTTTTATTTTAGCAATATAAATTTTTGCTATGTCAATCAGTGAATTATGCCCTAGTTATAGCTCATTTTTTGGATTTGCAGGAGTAGCTGCAGCGGTACAATCATTCACTATTCCATAAACTAATTTTAAATTCTATATTAGATGAGTTTATCATGTAATCAAAATACTTAGTTATTCGGTAACTAATCTTGACTTAGCCATTGGTTCTGCTTATGGAACAGCGGTTTCAGGAATGGGAATTGCAGGCATTGGACAGTTCAAACCAGAACTAATTATGAAGGTAGTATTTAATATAATTAATATTTATTTAAAGATCATATAGAGTTTTATTCCAGTAGTTATGAGTGGAATAATCGGCGTAATATTTTTAAAAATTAATATTATTCAGTAATATCTTATAAACATAGATATATGGCCTTGTCGTATCAGTATTAATAATAGGAAATATTTCACCTATAGAAAATTACTCACTTTTTAAGTAAAAAAGCATAATCTTTATCAATTAATACTGATTATAAATAGTGGATTAATACATCTTGCAGCAGGACTTAGTGTGGGAATGACAGGGATAGCATCCGGTTATAGTATTGGTATTATTGGTAATAGTGGTGTGCGTTCGTATATGCTCCAGCCAAGAGTATTTGTTTCTATGGTATTAGGTAATAATTAAAACAATAATTTTAATAATATTAATATCGCCAGTGTTAATATTTTCTGAAGTATTAGTAAGCTATCCAAATATAAAATAAGATATTACTAATGACAATTTTATATTTAGGGTCTTTATGGGTATATAAAATTAATATTATTATTTAAAAAGTTGATATTTTCTAGACTTATTGTTTCTCTCATTCTGAGTAAAATACCTTTTTTATTTATATTTATATAATTTTTTAGATACAAAAATCTCTCATAAATGTTAAATGTTATAAAAAATAATAACATATTTTGTTTTTATATATAGATCTTTATTTTTTTCTAATTTTACAAATAAATCTATGAAATCAATACTTAATTACTTAAAAATACTATTTACGAAAGATAAAATGTAACATAAAATTTCTTTAACCAAAGCTACAAAGATTAAATATAAAAATCACTGGGAAGAGTGGGATTCGAACCCACGCAGCTTTCGCTATCACGAATCACATAAAAGTACGACCTGAACGTGACTCCATAACCACTCGGACATCTTCCCAATTTTCTGATCACTAAAAAAATAAATATTATAAATCTATATTAAAATTTTAAGGCTAAAAAATTCAATATAAAACACAAAAATGTTTCAAAATTATGTTTTTTAATATTCAACATATATAATTATATTATAATTTATGTTTTAATAAATCATTATTTTTTTGTTAAATCTTTACAATATTTTTAAACTTTTCATGAAAATTAAATTATATAAAATTATTTATTATTAAAGTTCATAAAAATAAACACTAATATATTTTTTAGTTAAGACATGGAATTGATTCTATATCTATAAAAAATTATAATTTCTACTGTTATTTTTCTTTTTAAATAGTTAGTAAATTCAAATTATTAAGTGTCTTTAAGAAATCGCTTTAGACGTATGCTACTTTTAATTATCATTATAAACTAGAACATATTATTTGAAATTAATTTCTATTATAACTTTATAGAAACTTCAGATATAATAAAGAAAATCTTTCTATAAAACGAATTATATTCAACAAAAGTATACACTAAGCTTTTTAAAATAATGCTAAATACTGAATCAAATTTGATTCCATTAACATATATATATTCCATACTTACAAACTTTAAAAACTAATTAATTTTTATATTTAACATAAAACAAATATAAAAACTATAAAAAAGAATTCAACAAATCCTTAATTATTGTGTACAATATAAATATAACTTCGAAAAATATATAAGAAATTAAATAATTAAATATATATCATTTTCTTAAAGGTCAAGTAGTTTTTACTCAACAAATATTCTAAGAAAGAGAAGATATTCTACTTTGTATTTTTAAACTTTCCCAACAATCCAAACTAGCAATTTTATCAACGCCATCATCATCCGTATATGCATACAAGCATTCCCGATAATTATCATGTAATTTTCGTATATTATGACCAAGAATCACTTGTACTAGTGCAGTTGTTTCTACATGACGAATTTCAATAAATGAATCTTCAAAAGCAAGTAGATATGGATAAAAAAGAGCTTAATATATAATTTAATAAATGATTTTATTAAATTAACATAAACTCACCGAATGATGTAGGTAATCCTTCCCAAATAATCATCCAATCATGCTTAGTAGCCCATCCATTTTTATCCACGAAGAACGCCATTTCTAAAAAAGTATCAATATATATATTTAATGTATTTCAATATATACCATCATAGCAAAGTAAGAATTTTAAATTTAGCCTATATATAGCGATAGGTTTTATATTTTCTTTCCGAGTAACGAAATCTAAAGAAGTATCGGCAGGATCAAGCAAAGATTGAGTTTCAAGATTCTCTAAATTGACAACTTCAAATCCTTATAATATTTTAATAATAATTAATTTTTTTTTTTAAAACCAAACCTTTTGGAGATCCAACACAGAGTTTATGTTTTAAAAAATGTACAGATGTAGATTCAGTAGGAATATAAAATTCCTAAAAAAAATCAAATAAATATTATATATATAAATACGACGAATAAAATACCTTAAAAACTCTGAGAACATCCTGTCCTCCTTGAAGTAAAAATCTGAATGGAGCTTGCTTTTTACCTCGACAAACATTATCAATAGGCTCCAGTATTTTTATAGTTGAACTCAAAACAGAACTTTTAACCACACAAACCAATAACTTACCAAGACAAAGCCCAGATCTAAAAAAATTTGCATGCCCAACTATTTTTCTGGGACGTTTATTTGCTAAAGTTGTATCATTCAAATCTAATGACTCTAAAGGATATGAATAAAGGGTTTTATCTGCAAGAACTAGTAAAATCGAATATTCTTCAAGAACATCAACTTGAGTAACACCATTTATAGCAAGAACCCGAACTGGTGTAGCTTTTACAGAAGAATGTGGTTTACGATCTGATACATAGACACCATTTTCAGTGCCATATATTAATTTCCGGCCACCATCTATAAAAATAATTAAAATTTATCAGAAATAAAATAAGTATTATAAAACCAAAAGGAGCAACACATGTTACTTTATTCCCTCTTAAAAAATATTTCTCACAAATAATTTGCCGTTTAAAAATACAACTTCTTTCTTTAAGACTTCTTTGTTGAGATTCAATATGTTCAGCCCATTTTTTGCGACTTATAGATGTAGTTGCATATAAAGTAATCATATAACCTCTACGACCTAAATGAATAAACGTAATTGCATATCCTTTAGAATTATCGTTTTTATGAGGAGTAGATTTTAATGTTGTATTAAGCAGTAAAGGAGTTCTTTTTGCAACAAATGATCTCTCAGAAGGCTCTTCAGACTGCGATATAATTAAGAGTTCAAGAGGTATAGGCTTAAATTATAAGCTAAATATGATAAACAAAAACAAAATTCTTACCTTACGATGAACCTTATATTGCTCACGCTTTGTCATTTTAACCATTAAAAGAACATGGTCAAATAAAAAAACTTGAATATCACTACCAGAATCCATACTTGCACTAGAAACACTCCTTTTTTTTAATATCCCTTTAAAAATAAGGCGACGATTTTCATCCGAAAGTTTCAAATCAAGACCTTCACCAGGCTTAAATATCAATTGTTTACTTAATTGCATTAAATTAAACCGATTTTCAGCCCTTCCAGACTCAATATTTACTTTAGTAAGAAAATCTTTAACAAGTTTAACAGCTTTCATAAGATCGGCCTTATCTGAATTATCATCTGGAGTGCTTTTAGCTACTGCTTCCAAAAGCAAAGGATACCGTGCAAGACGTGTAGTAGGTTTTGTTAAATAACCATTTAATTCAAGTTTCCGTGACTCTCTTAGTCTTTCAGTTTCTTCAACAAATTTTGAAAAAACAGGATTTTCTCTTTTTTCTTTTTCAAACTCATATTTTCCATGAAGCTGGTTTGCACCATATCGAATAAATGGATCAAAACGAGGCACAAATTCAAGAAATATATCACCAATACGATAAATAACATTATGTTGTTGCTGTCTCTTAGTTAACGCCTCAGCCAACCGAGAGTTAACAGCATGAATATCCAAAATATTAGAAAAAACAGCCAAAATAAATTTTTCTTTACGATATTCAGGTATTAAATTTCCACATCGTAAAGGTTTTATCCAAAACTAATATTGATTAGGCAAAGTAAAAATAAATTATTTACAACTTACATCTCTAAGATACTCGAGATCTTTTACAAAATCTCTTTCAGTATAAATGACCTCACATATTATTTCTTGTCTCTTTTTTTCTCGTTCATTAAGACTATCAGCAATCTCTCTTGGTACGCTTTGTATCCATAATTTCTGTTCCTTTTCAGTATCATCTAATCCACTCAAACTATAACGAGATTCAGCCCTTTTCAAAGCTGAATGAGGTTTCATATTTAATCGTGCTTGTTGTTCGAAACGCCAAGGACATGATATAGAATAACATAACTGATCTCTCACACAAGTTGGAGAATAACATTCAGTAAGCAATGTAAAAACACCATTAGGAAGATCATCAACATCATTTTGAAATGTTTTTCGACAATTTTTTGAAACAGTAAAATCAATACATGATAGTGCTGAATGAGTATTTAATAGATGATTATCATAAGAAGCACCAAGATCACCCTGAGATAAAACCTTAGAAGTTAAAGACTTATTTAAATCATTTTTATCTGCCTTCAATTGAGCATTGATATCTGTATTAGAAAGAGAAGACAAGCATTCTCTAAACTGATATACTTCATTCGGAGAATCACGAAGACGATGATCATAAGTTACATCATGAATAAATTTTTGAGCATCCAATGATCTTCCCAAAAGTAAAGCTAAATTGCGATCCATGGTCCTAATAATTTTAGAAATAACATCTACAGCTTCACTTCCTGTAAAAGCATCTTTATATGTCAAACCATCTTTTAATTTATCACCCAATATAACTCGTTGTCTAAACGCCTCTGCAACACACGAAAGTAAAGCCGGATAAACTGCAGGGTAAGAGTTTGATGTTTTTGTTGTAATAGAAGAAACATTAGAACTAGAATGCTTTGGTCTATCGCTACCAGATAATTCATTTGTAGGCGTTAAAGCATTATATAATGACCACATCCTGTTATTGGTAGATACATTCTCAAGTCTTTGGCCAGGATATATATTATAATATACTCCTAAAAAATTAATAAATGAATTAACACTTATACTATATCTTACCACGTATATTTTCTCTCCAAGAATCACTTTTGAAAGCTTGATTTCGAAAAGAATCCTTATTTTCTACATTCCTAATACATTAATATACGATATAAAACCATTATATTCATACTTCATAACTATAGATGATTTCGGCTGATGAGGTTGCAGTAAATATGTATTGTTCTCAGGACGCTTAATAACCTTATCATCAGATATTTTCTCTTCAGAAATATTCGTATTCTTGTTTGAACAAGTCTCTAAACAAACCTCTGTATTTCCAGCACCTTTCTCAGAAATCTGATTAAAATCATGATATAAAGACACATGATCAGCATATTCAAAAGATTGTTCAGGAGAAAAACTCTTCTGAAAATATAAAGAAAGAGAATTCGGATAGTATTTTAAAGATGGTGTAAAGGATTGTGCACGATCAAAATCAGTATCAGTTTTCGAGTTTAACGTATGTATATTTGAAGATGATTGATTAGATCGTACTTTATACTGGGACTGAGAAACTACTTCAGCATCAGTATAATAGTGTCGATTTATATTAGTATCTGAATGATGCATATGAAATTGTTCACTATAAGATCTTCTTTCATAATACTTGGAAATATCCTGACTCTTAAAATGAGGTTCCAAAGGCATATACTGTTCTTTAGCATAGTTATCAATCAAAAGTTCATCATTTTTAGAGATTGCCATATTAGTATATGACAAATCATGATCTAAATCAGATAATTCCGAATGTTTTAGATATTGATCATTCATATTCAAACAGTGGAAAAGCTGTTTAAAATCTTCTTTAAAGATAAAACTTAGAAATCACTAATATAAGAATTCTTCCAAGAACTATTAATCCTAGTTTTTCTTGTAATCTTTATCTTACAGTTCTTTTAAGGACCTTCTGCGATATTTATTTAACCTAAACTATACAAAACCTAACAAAAAATCCTAAATATTTTTATTACAAAAGTAAAATCCTATTATCCCCAAAAATTTAGAATACTTTTTACAAATTTGACTAATTTTTTCACAATTTTAAACGATAAATTATTTTCAAAAATATATTTAACTATTTATATAAAATTATTTAAATAATAATAATAAATACATTATAATGAAGTATCTAAGCCATATTTCTTTTTAGAAAAAAAAACCATATAAAATCCTTCTATTTAAATCTTTTTAAGAACCAAACAAACATTATTACAGCAAAAAATCACATAAAATATATTTCTACTTATATCACATTTACACTTTTATAACTCATTATACTCTGTAAGCTATATTTATATAAATTAAAAAAAATTAAAATACAGAACTTTAATAAATATAATCAAACATGTTCAATAACAAAATATAAACGCTCAATATTTTAATAAACATTTTTCTAAATTATGAAAAACAAAAAATATAATTATAAAATATGTACTGTCAATACATAAAGCTTTTGTTTCTAAATTTTTTATAAATATTTGCAATTACAAGATCTATAGTATTATGTTTTTAAAAATACTTAAAGATATTTATCAAACAAACTTGTTTATCTAAAATATATATACATCATACCAACTTATAAAATATAAGAAAATTGCAATAAAGTAAATTGAAAAGAATATGGAACTTAAATATATAAAAAACATTGCATAGCATATTCTAAAGACTATATCTTGTCTTATTATTTTTATAGCATTTTCTAAATTTGGTGATAAAACACGAGATTCACCAGCCCGTAATACATAAAAATATTAAGACCCATGTTAAATACCCGCTAATATTAATAATCAAAAAAATTCAAGAATTGTGAAACTCAGAATGCCAAAAATACGCAAGGACGTAACAGTTTTATCTTTAATACTGTCATTATACTTGTTGGTTGCATATTTTTTTTATTTATCAAACACGAATTATACAAAATACCCAAATCTATTGTCAAAGACCCATGTAGACATAAGAAAACAAAAGAAAATAAGTTATTATTCAAATGAATTGAGATATAAAGAATCTTCTCGGGAGCTTCGCATGACTATGTTTTCTACAAAGACTTTTGAAAATAAACCACAAACTCTTTACGAACATTTAGCATTTCAATTTCCATATAAAGAGCAAAGGTTTCCTGATTATATCTGGCAATTCTGGAAATATGAGCCCTCTGATTCAAACTTTGATTCTAGATTTCTTCCATTAGAAGCTAGCTGGAAAAAATATCATAATAGTAGTATTTACACGGTAGGTCATTAATAGATATTTTCTACATATTAAACTTTTATTTAAGATAGTCAAAGAAGAATATGCACATTATCTTATAAGACATCTTTATTTATCCATTCCAGATGTTATAAAAGCTTATAATGCACTTTCAACATCTATTCTTAAAGCTAACTTTTTCCGTTATCTCATTCTTTTTGCTAGGGGCGGTATCTATAGCGATATTAATACAGAGTTATTACTTCCTGCATCTAATTGGATTTCAGAATCGATAGAGCTTTCTTCCATTGGACTTATTATTGGTATAGAAACTGACATAACCAGTCGACCTGATACAATGCAAGATAATTCTGAATTTTTTCGGTTTAGTAGTAAAACCATTAGAGCAAAACCAGGACATCCTGTTCTTCGAGAGATTATAGTAAATATTACTGAAGAAATTTTGCAAAAAAAAAGCACTAGCAAAAATTCTTTAAAATCAACTCAATTTATAAATTCCGCATTATGGACAAATATTATTATTGATTATCTCTCTTCTGATGCTATTAGCTCTTCTAAAGTCGAAAGTGAAAATATTTCATATTCTTACTTGTCAAAAATTAATAAAGAAATGACTATAGGTGATATTGTTATTTTACCAATTACTAGCTTTTCTCTTAATGAAAGATATATATCGAGTAAGACTTCAGAAAGCCCTCAAGCAATACTTAGGCATAGCTTTAAAGATATCAAGGAACTTAATTAAACTTATCAAAGGAATTCAAAATTTATTAATATTATTAATATACCAGCACTCTTTTTATCAATTTTTCGTTTACAAACTGTATGATTAAATAAATTAAGATCTTTTGGGCACTGTAATAAAATGAAATTTTAATAGTTTATATGTTTTTAATATATGATCTTATATTTAGATTTTTGTGTTTGTAGCATTTTTTTTCAAATATAAAATCATTAAAAATATCTTATCCCATTAGGAAAATTTATACATATAATTATATTATCCTCTAATATGTATACATCTTAAATTTGCTATTAATACTAAAAGATCATACGTTTAAATTTCTAAAGAAGCTTTTTAATTATTAAAATAAAATATATCTAAAAAAACTATTTAAACTAAATATGATAAATATAAAAAATTTTTAGTATAAATCTATGTATTCCATTGCTAGAATAATATAAATATATCTTAAATATTAAAACCATTTTAAGAATAAACGAAATATCTTAAAATCAAATTAAAATAAAAAAGCTAAGATATTAATATATAAATTTATTATTATTCTTCAAAAAATAATAAATATAATATATTCTAATCAATCTTTTTCTAATTAATTTCCTAAATAATGAACATTTTTTTTAGATAATTATATGAGTACATATAATAATAAACATTATTATACAAACTATATTTAAATTATTAGTAAACATGTAACATCAATCCTAATTAATTAATGACTATAAATTAATCGATATAAAATAATTTAAATATAAAGTTTTATATATTATCTTTAATAATATTTGATTTAAGAATATTTAAAAACAATTGATAAATATAATATAAATAACTTCTATACTTTTATAACTAATATATAAATATCTTAAAATTACCCAAAAATTTAATTTAAAATATATTTAAATTTTAAATAATCTCATCTATTTTGCAAATTCAGACCCATCTTTAATAATATTCCTTAATATATTAAATATTAATCAATATATATATCCCAAAACTTAATAAATTAATATTTATAAAATATAAAAATCATAAATCAGAAATCTTAATATTATTTAATAATATAAAAAAACAAATTTCTTTAAAAAACTAAATCAAAATATAATACCAAAAAACAAAATAAGACAAAAATGTACTTAAACAAATCCTAAAAAATCATTCAAATGCTCTTAATGCATTTTCTACATCAAACATCATTTCTATCACCTTTTCTTCTTGCCATTGTTGCCCTATAACTTGAACACCCACAGGAAGTCCATGCATTTTATCAGGATCATACAATGGCTGAGTTGATTGATATAATTTTTGATGCATTATCCCATCCCATTTTTTATATTCATCAGATAAAATATCTATTGAAGAATCTACGAATGTTACTGGTAGACAACCAACTGAATAATTCAAAAGATTATAAATGAAAGTTGATGCAGCAATAGGTGCAACATTCGTTGTTCCATTATGAGGTAACGCAGGAAGAGGATTAATAGGCGCGATTATACCATCAAGTTTATAATAATTCCAAATTTTGAACCATTCATTGCGATAAAGATTGCGTCTATGAACAAGATGACAATATTCTGTAAATTTCTTTTTCCTTACTGCTTTAAATACCAAAGAAAGCTTTAAATCACAAATAATATTTTCAATTATATATCCAATAATAGATTTTATAAAATAAGGAATCCAAGAAGACAAGACGAAAAGTCGAAGATTCTTTTCCAATGGGTCTTTTTTAATAACATCATAAATACTTTTATATCCATCACTAGACGACAAACCTTCTAAATTAGATAAAATATCAAAAAAACCTTAAATACCAATAAATATTTCAACAGCATCAAAAGAACTAGGAGGACGTATCTCAACAACTTTATGACCAGCAGCTTTAAGTGAATCAACTACCATACGAACTGCTCTACGACATGCAGGAGATGTTAAAGTAAACTCGTCTAAACAAAATAAATACGAAATCATCATTTTCTCTATTTACCTTCAAAATAATATCCAAATACTTTTAAATTATTTTCTGGTTGTAATGGTTCCCTCCATGGTAAAGGTATACATGAAAAATCATATAATTCAGGCCTAGAAAGTAATATAGCCTAATAAAACCATTAAAACTACTTTTCTTTTAAATACCATACTTTAGTAATAAACTTTAAATCTGAAACAGATCTCGTCATAGGGCCAGCAACAACACGGATTCCCTCAAAACCTTCAACAATTCCAAAATGTCCTTTTAAAGGAAATCTATCAGAAGATGGCTTTAAAGAACAAACACCTGAATTGTTAACAATTTTTGGTTTATAAAAAACATACCACAATAATGTGCAGGAATTCTTAGGCTACCACCAATGTCACTTCCAAAACCCAAAGCGGATGAGTTAGAAGAAAGAGAAGCAGCTTCACCACCAGAACTACCACCACATGTATATTTGCAAGAAAATGGGTTTAGAGTTCTTCCAAAAATAGGATTAGAACATTCAAATGTAAAAAGCGTTTGAGGAACATTTGTCTTGAAAAGAATCACTCCGCCCATATCTTTTATCATCTTTACAAGAGCAGAATCATCTAGAGAAGGTTTACAAACAAAAGTTGAGATTCCAAGAGATGAATCATATCCACTTATATTATACGTATCTTTAAACGACACAGGAACACCTTAAACAATAAGGAAAAAAAAATACATAAAATAATATACCATGAAGAGGCCCTCTCGGCGACTTCCCAAGCTCCAATTCCTTATCTAAAAGTATCGCTTGCTCAATTGCCTCAACAAAAAATACTAAATCCTCAATATCTCATCTATTTCATTAACAACCTCACCTTCTGTTATAAAGTTTATTTTTTCATTATTTCGAATAGAGCTACGTATATAAGCCTTTACAACATTCTCCGATGTCCATCTAGGTTCTCTTGCTGCTATTTTCTTTGCTATCATTTCAGCAGAAGCTGTAAGAAATTCTTCATCTCCATCTTCTGGAAAACTTGAGCCAACTAATACCATAGCTTTTCGAATAGCAGCTTGTCTTTCTTTTTGCTTAATTCTTTTAACATTTTGAAAAGAAACCATCTAATTAACTTTGATTTTCTACTTTAAATAACTACTTAAGCCTATAACAATAATCCGTTTAACGATTGCTCATACAAAGCTTCAATAATATTATATTTTTATAATTATTTTTATAATTTACTAATAAAAACGAAAAAATAAAGAAAAAGCATCACCAAATCTATTAAAAACATTATTTTTAATAAAAACAGACATTTAAATTATTCTATATCTAAAAGTTTTTTAGATATAGAATTTAACAGACTATTAAAAAAATTCAATACTGGAAAAATTAATCATACAATAAACCTCATATAAGTTTGAAATAGGATATCTTTACTTATAGGGGTTACATTTCAAAAAAGAAAAGAATAAATATAATTTCTAATTATTAATCATGATTATTTAAATTTATTTTAAAAAGAATGGTAAAAAATAAAGAAAAATCACAAAGTCAACAAAAAACAAAACATTTGCCTTTAAAAAAGGCAAATGTAGTAGTAGATAATAGTAAAACAAAAGATAACGCAGCACACGTTTGTCACAAAGCTAAAAAGATAAATCAAAAGGACAAAAAAATATATAATTTTATTTCAGATGAAGATGATCACTATAATATTGATTATAAATCAGAAGAAAATATAGAAAATTATATAGAAGAATGGAAAATAGAAAAGAAAAATAAGGAATCTAAAAAAAATATGTTTAATTTTCTTAATGAAGGATTTAAAGAAAATGATGTGAATAATGAAGAAAATATTTCAGATCGAACCCAAGAAGCAAATCATTGGATGGATCCACGTAGTGAAAGTGTCTTAAAGGGTCTTGAAAATCTTTCTACGAAAAATTTGGATGAAGAGGAGGGAGTATCTGAAGCAAAATTATTAAAAAAAGATATTAAAAATCAAGAACTAAATGAAAAGAAAAAAACTAGAAAAGAGCGGTATAATAAACTAAGAAATTTGGTGAGGAGAATTAACCAATTTTTTAGGAAAATGGAATACAAAAAGAAAATTATTGAAACTAAAGCGTTAGAAAAAAGTAAAAATGGAGAGAACATACTAAATGAAGATAAAGACCAGATTACTACTATTTATTCACATGCTTCAGGATCTTTAATAGTCTCAGAAAACACACATATAAGTAAAGCAATAGCAGTTACAGGAAATTTAGTGTCCCCACTAAATTCAAAAAATCTTCAAGTTGATAAAGTAACAATACAAGCATATGGGAAATTACTTATAAAAGAAAGCGAGCTGAATTTAATTAATGGAAGGAGATACGGATTAATAGCACCAAATGGCGTATAAAATACCAGATAGAAACCTATATACTAATATTTTTAGAGTGGAAAATCCACACTTATGCATGCAATTGCGTCTAACCTTATTCCAAGACCACCTGCTCTTGATGTTTATTTACTAGACAAAGAATATACACCTACGAAAATGACCTGTATTGAAGCCTTATTAGATATTAATGAATATGAAAAAAGATGCTTAGAAGAAGAATTAATTAGTCTATTAGATGACCCTGATAAAAATTCAGTACGAATTAGTTCTATTGGGCAAAGAATTGGTGAATTAGAAATAGGTGGATCCGATCATAAAGCTAGACATATTTTAGAAGGTCTTGGTTTTAGTGAAGAAATGATACAACAGAAAACTTGCGATTTAAGTGGTGGATGGAGAATGAGAATATCTTTAGCACGCATATTGTTTGTCAAGCCTACTTTAATTTTACTTGATGAACCGACCAATCACCTTGATTTTGAAGCCATTGCATGGTTAGAAGACTATCTTGTTCATGAATTGAATGGTCACACTCTTCTTATGACATCACATTCCCAAGATACATTAAATGAAGTCTGTACTGATATAATACATCTCTATAACAATCATCTATATTATTATTCAGGAAATTATGACACATTTAAAAAAATAAGAAAAGAGAAGGATATACAAATTATGAAAAAAACAAAGATAAAAGAAAACAAAATGGAAATTTTGCAAAAAAAGATGAATATGACAGGGAATAAACAACGAGAACAGGCAAAAAGCAGAATTGCTACAATGGAAAAGAAAATGGAAAAAGATAAACAAAAAAATAAAGTATTGGAGGAAGAAATCGTGAAAGAAAAAAAATTAATTATTAGATTTGAAGAATGTAGTGGAGGAATACCATCTCCTGCTATAAAATTTAGAGACGTTTCTTTTGGATTTCCAAATAAACGCCTTCTTTTTAAGAATCTTAATTTTGGTGTTGATCTTAATTCTAAAATAGCATTAGTTGGTCCTAATGGCGCAGGAAAAACAACATTAATTAAACTTTTTATGGGAAGTTTGCAACCAATTTCAGGAGATATAACTCGTCATCATCATTTACGTATTGCTCAATTTCACCAACATATGAATGATCAACTGAATTTGGATATTTCAGCAGTACAGTGGCTACACGAAATATCACCGGAACGCTCAGAAGGCTCTATGAGAGGTTTTTTAGGAAGCTATGGACTTACAGGAAAAAGTCAAGTTATACCTATGAAACAATTAAGTGATGGACAACGACGAAGAGTTTTATTTGCATTTTTAGGGCTAAAAAATCCTCATATAATTATGTTTGACGAACCTACGAATGCGTAAGTTCTTAGTAAGATTTAAAAATCAAACTTAAATAAAATTAGATTAGATATCAATACAATTGATGCTTTAAGCGATGCTATCAATAATTTTAATGGAGGCGCCATTATAATTTCACACGTAAATATATCTTCTTTTTTATATCTAACTGTAACAAATATAGGATTTTGTACTAATTAATAGGGTAGCAACTGAAATATGGGTTATAGAAAATGGAGAAGTCAAGGTATGGGATGGGAACATAAAAGAATATAAAGAAAACTTGAAAAAGAAGTTTCAAAAGAAAAGAGAAAAAGAAGCAGAATTAGCTGTTTTAGGAAAAACTTATTGAAATGCTTTTTTAAAGATGCTAAACATGTATTTGTATCATTCAAAAACACATATGCATTATTCTATAGTTTTAGACTTTATATTAAGGCTCCATAATTCTAACCTTTAAATATGAACATATTTCTATTTATTAATCTATAAATCGTTTCAAATATAATATCCATATAATTAAATATTAATGAGAAAAACAAATATCTAGTATTATTTGCATAGTATTTAATTATAAAATAGGAATTAATCTAAAATAACAGAAAACATCAGATACTGATCTATATAAGATTTAAGAACAAAAAACACACATTTTACTTCAATAGCTATTGTCATATAATTATTGAAATTATTTTATAAAAAACACTAAGTCAAAGGTTTTTTACAAACCCATAATTGCATAGGAGTAAATATTTCCTTTTTTCCACCTTTTACAAGGGAATCTGCTGCAACTAACAAAATATCGTTAACTTTCTTACTACCCTTTGGAACAAGACCGATAAATTCCATAAGTCCTATAAAAGAACTAACAAGCCATTTCCCAACTGTTGTCATACGAGCAATAGCAATAAAATCTCTGAACGATCTAGCCTTCCTCAAATCACCTTCGAGATAATAATACCATGGAAGTGCGCTGTTTTTTGTAGAAAGTTCCTCAGAATGAATAATTTCAAATCCCACCCTGATTAAGGCTGCTTCTGCATCTCCAATTTTAGAAATTTTAGGAATAGAATCACCAATCTCAATTCCATATACAATTTGTTGATGCTCAGGGTTATTTTCATCATACTTATTAAGCATAACCCATTCATATGAAGCATAAATCCCCCCAGGCTTAAGGACTCGATAAATTTCCGAATAAACACCTTCTAAAGAAGGTGCATGAATTGTTGCTTCAATAGAATATATTTTATCAAATGAATTATCTGTAAAAGGCATTTGCATAAAATCGCCCTTAACAAACCTCAATTTATCAGTTAATCCCTTTTTTTGTGAATAATATTTCGCTCGCTCAATTTGATACTATAAAAAAATATCAATTAAAATAATATTTAAAAAAAAAATACATCATTATTATTCAATCCCACAATATTTGCACCCGTAAAAACAGCAATCTGACATGCTGGTCCACCAACTCCGCATCCAACATCCAATACCATTTCGCCTTCGCGTATCCCGGCATGTAACGCAATGTAATGCTCATGTCGAGCAATTGCCTGCTGAAACGTTTCATCCTTTGCAAAACGACAAAAATGAAATGATGTTGACCATCCATATTCATAAAAATCCGTAACCTAACCTTTTTCAATAATATTTCAATAAAAAACTATATTTTTTACAAGATTATAATAATGACGAGTAAGAGTAGCATAAAACCTGAAACGTTCCTAATAAAATATTAGAAACTATATAAAAAAACTCCTTTTTACCTTACGATAAAAATCATTTTTCTCTGACAAATGCTTATCACTCCAAAATCCAAAATACGAGTCTAGTGCTACTTTTTGTGCGTCCTTATCTTTCTTAAAAGCTGAAAATAATCCTCGTTCATTTGCTGCATCTTTCCCATGCATGATCTCTGAAAACTCCCGATCTTTTTCAATATCAATAAGTTCTGGCTCAAAAGACATCTTTGCAGAATACTTCAGCTATAATAATCAGAAAAATATAAAAAAAAACAAAAACTATACGAAATATCTCGTATCTAATTATTTTTTTAATAACCCTCTTAATTATCTAACAAAAACCTAAGCCTTGTTTTTATTTTACTTAAACCCAACGGAGAAAAGTTTTTGTAACTTAGTTATAAGACAAAATTCATAAAGATATATATAATAACCCTTTTTAACATTAGTATTATCTGCAAAGAAAATCAATCATACAATTATAAAACTTTTTAATAATATAAATATATTTCAAAAATATAATATTTTGTATTTATATAAATTAATAAAGAAATCTAATAGAAATCCATAAATTTCTATTAAATCAAATATTTATTATAATATTTATGTTAATTGGAAAATTGAATTTTTTTTATTGATTTTAACATATTTTATTTAAGAAAATATATATTTTTAAAAATATTAATAAATTTTATAAAAAAACTAAAAACAAAAGCATAGAACATATATAAGACGCCCAGTAGATCCAATTAAGCTGTTAAAAGTTGAGAAAATCAATAATAATTTTTATTAAAGTTTTTGAAATCTTTACTGAAAAGACACATAAAACTACAAATTTATAAGACAAGTTACAAAAAAAGATCATATAAAGATTTATTTGATATGTTTTAAATAATATTTAAAGTTTTAAATGTAAAAGTTGAGATTTTTTAACCCTTACCTATCGAAAAACCGGTCATTATATATCATAGATAAAATTTGGCAAGCTTAAGATCAAGAGAAAAAATAGTAAAAGATTTATTAGAAAAACACAGGATACTAATTATTTATAAAGAGAATCATCTTAAGATAGTTTTTGGGTTTTTTTAATATTAAAAATTGAAAAAAATAGACGAAATCTATATCTTCGTTTAAAGAGTGAAAAATATCAATTAATTATATAAAAATAAATCAAACTGGTACAATCAGGATCGTATTCAACAGGTCTGTTTAGGTATGTTATTTTTTTTAATAAAAAAAGTGAAAATATAGTAAAATCTATGTTATAATATTAAAAAATTCAAAATAAAAAAAAATAAAAAAAATAAATTGGTTGAGACAAAATATGTAAAAAAGAGAATATTAAGTTAATAAAGGTTTGACTTGTAACTAATAATGTGTTTATTAGACGCACTCCTATGCAAACTATTAAATGTGTCGTTGTTGGGGATGGCGCGGTTGGTAAAACGTGTCTTTTAATATCTTACACGACAAACAAATTTCCTTCGGAATATGTTCCTACTGTAAAGATCTTACATTTCCTAATATTTTTTGAAGCTAATTATATTTCTAGGTATTTGATAATTATGCGGGTTAAATTATTAATTTTTAACACTTTTTCTGATTATTATCTATAGTTACTGTGATGATTGGAGAAGAACCTTATACTTTAGGGCTTTTTGATACAGCAGGTCAAGAAGATTATGACCGATTACGTCCTTTATCATATCCACAAACGGATGTTTTTCTTATTTGTTTTTCTGTTACTAGTCCAGCAAGTTTTGAAAATGTAAGAGAAAAATGGCTTCCAGAGGTTCGTCATCATTGTCCAGGGACACCCTGTCTTATTGTTGGTACACAAGTCGATTTACGAGATGATCCTATGATTGCAGAAAAACTCAGTCGACAAAGACAAACTCCCATTACAAAGGAATTAGGTGAAAGACTTGCAAAAGAATTGGGTGCCGTAAAATATGTAGAGGTTTATAAATATCATTTTATTTTTTATAAATATAACAATATTTAGTGCTCAGCTTTGACTCAAAAAGGATTAAAAAACGTTTTCGATGAAGCTATAGTCTGCGCACTTGAACCACCCGTCACGAAAAAGAAATCTAAATGTCTTATTTTATGAGTTTAACTTATTAACAGACTATTGTATTTCATCAAAGCAATTAGCCTTTTTAAAAAAAGTTTTATTATTTTATATTTAACATTTACTAAATATTATAATTGGTTTTTTATTTGTTTTTCATATATAGTTCAATCATAAAAATTCCTGCACTTCAAACTTTAAGCTATTATTATAATTTCTTATTTTTAAAACAAAAAGCTATTATCTAAATAATTTCAATTCAAAAGAGACAAAATATTATGAGAAATAAATTGGTTTATAGACTTTTTTCTGTAATTTATCAATTTGATAAATTAGTCGAGTAACATATCAACCTCCGTTTTTTAAGATCTTTTCTTTTTAAAATAGAAACTTTTTCGCAGAGAAAAACCTTGTAAAAGACATAGAGCAAAATTTTTTATTAGTAGAAGTAAAATTTCCTTTTTTTCCAACTAAAAATCACTAATATTTGACAGAATATGTCAAATTTATAAGATATATATAAACACCAGATATAACATGCCCCGACCAATTAGACATCCTAGAGACTCAATAATTTTAGAGTATTCTCATTCATTTTCTTCTGGACCACAAGCATCTTCTACACCTACTCAAGATCCATCTAATATAACATGGGTATCAGATTTATCTCCAATTGGAACATCTGCATCAAACAAAAATACAGTTATACAAGAAGATACATCTCCGGATCCATTTGGATTCCGAGAGATCCGAGGGATTCGTCCAACATTTAGAGCGATACACTCAAAACCATCACCAAAAGATCTAGAAATTTGTGAAAAAGAAACATCTTCAGATTCTTTATCATCACAAGAAAAAAGTCCATCTCTAAGATCTACGGATGACGAGGAACATTTAAAATTATCGTCTAAGAAAAAATCTACAGGAATTAAACCAAAGGATTTAAAATATGAAGAAAATAAAAATAATGAATTACCAAAAAAAAGAAGATATACTAGAAAAGATCAAAATCTCACAAAAAACATAGAAGAGGAAGAAATATACAAAAAGGATATAAATACAGATGGTTTTAAAAAACAAACCATGTCATCAAAAGATATCATAGAATACTTTCGTGAAGTTGATAAATTTGAATTAGATGTAGAAGATGTTCCAGCAGACTATACTAGTGAGAATTAGACGATTTATATAATATAAGTTTAGAAATAATTCCAATGAAAACAAGAATCTACAAATATTCAAATTTAAATATCATTATTTTGTTTTTAATCATTTATTCAACATCAAAATAAGCTATATATTATAAAATATTCTTTTAATATGGCAGCTAAATAAAATCATATCTAATAATATGTATCATTTTTTCAGTAACCTTTATAAATAACATGACTAATTACAATTCCCTATCAGATATCGTTCATTTTATTTTTCTTTATGGAGAAAGACTGCTATCAGTATCCAAACTATCCAATTGTACATCACTTTCATCACTTTCACGATCATTTATTTCTTCTTCCATCATTTCATCATCATCATCATCATCTCCATTCTCGACATAATTAACTGCTTGTAAAACCCTTCTACTTCGTCTTAATGGAACAGATGCATTTTCTAATTTCTTCTTTCTTTGATTTTTAATGGTATTCTTTGAAAAACGCCTTTTAATAGGTTCTATTTGTTTTTCATCAATAGATTTCCGCTAAACAAATTAAAAAACACTAATTTTATCTATTACTTACTTTTCGAATTAATCTAAGGGACTTTGTTAATGATAGTAATTGTTCTTCAATATCTTTATCAATATAATTTCGTTGTGCAATCTTCAATCTCAATCAAAAATAAAAAAATAATTATATATTACCTCTGTAGCAACCTTCACATTAGTTAATGGAGCATACAATTCTATTGGCAATTTCAATTTTTTTGGATAAATCTGTATTGTCCATGAATTGGACGCAGCAACAATCCTAATTAAAGCTTGAGATAAATCAGATAAAACATAAAGTCTCTAAACATTTATTAACTATAACAAATAAATTCAAGACAAATATACATCACTGTTTTCGGGAGATATTAAATCATAAACTTGCTTTATTCTCTGTACTAAATGAAACAATAATGACAAACAGTCAGAAGTGGCCACAAGTTCCAAATAAAAATTTATATATCTTAAAATTATTAAAACGAAAAAAAATAGCAATGATCATACTTTGCAAAATCAATTAAATCATCAGAATCAGTAGAAAAATCGGGATGATGAGAAAGAAAATGAATAAATCTTACAATTGCATATTCAATTGTAAAAATTTCACGAACACCTAAGATAAGTTAAAACAATATGATAAAAAACAAATGTGACAAACGATAAGCAGATGTACATAATTTAATCCATTTAACCACCTCTTGTTTAAACTCTTCTTCTGGCTCATGAGCCATAAGAAAAATAGGCACATAATAACGAACAGTCAATTTATTTAAATTTAAACCTTTCATCAATTTTTTGACAAAATTATAACGAACTTGAAAACATGGATCCTTTATTCAATTAAATAAAATATAGTAACTTTAAAAAATATCTAACCTGTACTAATAAAGCCATTTTGTAAAAATCCTCAACAGAAATCATTTCTTCAAACACACTATAACTAGATAGCTTTAAAAACAATCGACCAGCAGCCAAACGTATATGTGATTGGAATCGAGCCCTAAAAAAAACTTAACTTTATACAATTATAAACGAGAACTTTACGGAGTGTTTCTTTCTTTTGAAATTTCCCCCATATTTGTTAAAATTGATGCAAGAAGTCGAAATACAGGTTTTGCCAGTTCATGAATACCATCTGCATTTACATTTGCTCTTAGTCTATTCACAAGAGTTTTAAGTGCAAGTATCTTAACTTATAAACACCTTAACTAAAAGTTAATATTATCTACCTTAGCTTTACACTCATTTTCAAGAACATCCTTTTCTACCCAATCTTCTTCACTTGAATCATCAGAAATAAGATTAACAAGCAACACTTCCTTAATGAAGAAACTTGTATATTGATCTGCTCTAGGTTCCATTTCTTCAGGAGCATAAAGTACAAATTGAGATAAAGCCGATAATCTTGTTAAAAAATACTCCGAATCAATAGTAAGTTCATCAAATATTTTCTAAAATCATGTAAAAAACAAGTATTTTTAAATAAATAATACTATAATTAAATCACGAGTAAATTTCTCTTTATTCACTGAATGCAACAAAATAAAAACAGCTTGTTTTGACTCGGCAGGTGTTCCTTTCAAAGCAAAAAAAGTAAGCGCCTTTAATAATTTCGAATCAGTAGTTATATCATGAGAAAATGATGTAGTAAATTGGGCATAAACTTTTAAAGTATCAACATAAGATATGTTCGATTTAATATCATGTTCTTTAATTAAAGATGAAATTTCCTCTATATGCGCTTTATATACGGAAGGCTGTACTAAGGATATTTCCTTGAAAAAATAAGAACAAGTTATTATCGTTTCTTTATTTACCTTTAAAAGCTCGCATGCAGTATCAGCCAACATATTTTTATTAGATCTAGCATATTCAATAATCGGTGAAATCACGCTTTTGTTATATAGCATTGGACTTATTTTGAAAATAAGAATCTTAAATGTTTCCACTAAAGTTGGTGATTGTTCTATTCGTTTGAAAAACTCCTTCTATTTAACAATTAGAATTCAAGCACAATTATTTATTCAAAGAAAAAAATATACCTGAGATTTTTGAATTTGTTTATAATCACTCAACAGATTCATACAATCTCTAAGTAACTTATATAAACGCCTATCATTTAATCGAGAAAACTTTTCAAAATCCAATTCTGCCTTAGAAGAATCACCGTATAAAGACTTAAGACGAGTAATAGCATCTTTCAAAGCCGCAAGTACTTTCTTTTCATTATCAGAGATTACACCACCCTAACCTTTTTAATATAAAAAAAAGAATGATTCTCTTACATTATATTTTTCACAAATACTAAGATAGTATTCCGTTATTTTAGCATATCTACAAGATTATTAATAATAGATAAACATAAAGATTAATATATTTTACTTAGGTTGATTCCTTCCTAATGATAAGAATGCATGCTTAGCTCGACCATCTAAATTTTTAAACGTAAATAACATTCGTTCAGTCCGTTTAAAATCATCCATCTCTGTATAATCAAGAATATATTGATATAAAACAAATTCCAACAATGCATTGATCTCCTTGTCGTTTATATATATAGTATGTAGTATTCGAGAAGGAATTGATAAAAACCATTCCGTTGTAGAATTTGAATTCTTTAAACTGAAAAGATCAATTATCTATCATATTTTAAAGCAGTGAATAGATACATATCATTATAAGCTATATAATATAATTTCCCAAGACAATGCATCGCTTCAATTCGAACCATGTGCTTCCTATCTTTACATCGATCGGATAAAGCTTCTAAGACATTACTTGGAATCCTTTCAGAGACTATTTTATAATCCAAAGAGCCTATCATTTTGCAAACGGTCATACGTACTTTTTCATCGATATCTACATGCTTTGAAAGAATACCCTCTATAACATATTCATTAAAATAGAATGATAATAAACATATATATACCAATTGCAACAGCCATTGCCTCAGGAGAGTAGCCGAAATTAATTAAAACATTAAATAAACCCTCTAACCATCTTATTCGTATAGAAGAATTCTTATCATTTCCACGAGATACCCAGCTTTTCCACAAAGAGGGATATTCCTTAACAAAATCAACCTTTTGTTCTTTAACTGAGAACATTTCAGAAATAGTTGATGTGCTCAACAGTCGAAGTGCTACATTTTCCACCATAAGTTCTTGTTCTAATTGAGGCATAATATTTTCAAGAACAGAAGGCGATACTATATAAAGTTCATAAACTAAATGATGAACCTTTTCCACCTCTTCTAATATAGCTTTATCTAATTCTGCTTGCGGATCCCTTTCAATTGATTGATTTGCCTCGAAAACAATATCTGTAAAATGCTGACAGACATATCTCTGAAGTCGTTCAGCACAAATATTAAAAAGCTGTTTAGCCATAATATATGCAGGAGGGCGTTCGGTCTTCAATCCAAATGAATGATTCTTTTTCGAACTCGTTACCGTAAATTGAGCAAGCATGATATCTATGACTTTTGGAGGAAGTGTTACAGATTCATCAATCAATTGCGCCAAAATATCAACCATAGCAATTATTACATTTCGTGGCTGCTCTGGTCTAATATTTTATCAAATTAACCTATTTTTTTTTAAAAAAATATCCAAAACATACGTCACCATCTCGAAAAAAATACGAAATAATTCCATTGTCAAGACATGTCCATTTGAAAGATCTGCTATCAAAACTACTGATTTAACTTGAGATAAACTCTCAAGAAGATAAAACGACTGTGCATAATACGGTAATTCTGAACTAAAAAGATTCTTCAACTGTCCAACAAATAATTCGAAAATATTCTAAATCATTTCCCATTAATCTTTAAGATTTTTTCCTCATTATACATACATTCAATTGAGATGGCGTATATGGAGCATCTGGTGCACATAATCGAAGAATATCCGCTAAACAACATGCTGTATAAGCACGAACACCCTTATCTTTATGATTTAGCAACCCGTCATTCACCAATTCAATAATTATCCCATCCAATGATCCTCTTTCAATTTGTTCTTGATCATGTTCTGCAAGCTCGCTTTGAAGCACCTAATATCTTATTAAAAACACATATAAGACATAAAAAACTTACACGAAGCCTCTTAAGAAGCTCATTCACACTTAAACGGCTTGTTCCTTTAGATATAAGCGTTTCTTTGAAGCTAAGGCGCGCCATCAAAAGGATAGAATCGAGAACGATCGAGCTTCTAATAAAAATTGCTCAAAAATACAAAAATAACATAAAATTGCATATAAAATACGCATACAATGCGCATATATTCCATAAAAATTCTGTATAATATACCTATAGATAAGATAATTAACTTTTAAGAGTATATATACTTATATAAACCGTAGATAAGAAATTTAGGGTTTTTAAGTGTGTAAAACTGACTCCTAAACGATCGATATCCAAAAATTAGGTGTAGGAATAAAACTATACGCGTATTTAATAGGAATGAAATGTGATTGGTTTATATAATAAAAAGAATTATGCTTCAAATCAAACGAAAACGAGAAGAAGAAGCAGTTCCTTTAATTTGTAAGCCATTGAAAGAATTAATTTTATATTAATTTAATGAATCTAGTCGTAACAAAATCATCTATATCAAAAGAGTTAACAATTCCTTTAAAACGCAGAAAACAGGGAAATAATTGTAATAAAATTATTATAAGATGTGCATATATTAACAAAAATCAAGTTTTTATTCTTTTTAAAACGCTAGAAGCTGAATCAATTACAAAATTTGAACAAGAACATGAAAAACGAACAATAGAGTTAGAAAAACAATGTAATTCAGATTTTTTATATAAATTGAAGAGGGAAAAATAGAATTTTGTTATTTTCTTTATCTTATTGATTTTACAGAACATCTAACGAACAAGATGAAGAATCAAGACAAAATGAAATGAGAATTTTAAATATAGAAAAATCACATGAATACACGGAATGTATAAATTATAGTTTTTTTGAAATATAACTTATATATTTTAGCGATTTTTGAGCCATTTGCAAAGGATTATGTATATGATATGTATATGCCATTAGTTTACACACCGGATACTTTGCAGACAAATCCTATCTGCTTTGGAATTCTGTAAGTTTACTTAAAATATTATATATGGGATTTTTTAATAGACTGGCATCAAGAACATTAGAGGAAGATAATGATATTTCTTTTCTTGAAGAGACAGATTCCTATGATAAATACAACGATGATGAAGACTCTAATGAAGAAGATTTCTATCAGAATTCATACCCAGATGAAGATGAATGGCCAAACAGCGATGTAGAGGAGCGAGAAATATAAAAGTTTACAATTAATTCAAACACATGATAACAATGATTCTATTTCTTTTGTTATGTTTTAATACATTCAAAAGCAAATTAAAACGTAAAAGCAGATAAAAGAATATATAAAAAAGCTTTTTATCTTATTAACCAAATAACGATAGAGAAAAAATGACGTGACACATTCTACTATATATCTTCCAATAAATATTTCTTCTAAACATCAGTTAAACTAGATGCTGTACACTTGTGATATCATTAAATTATTAAAATACTATTTAAAACTATTTTGTTATCGCTTATTATATCTTCCAATATATTCTTGCATCGGTAGAATTTAGAAAACAGGTTCACCGACATCAATATAATCGACAATATTTAGAGATACAAAATTAGGAGGGTTAAGGACAAATATTTTGAAAAAATGAAGTCGGAAATAGCAGAAGATTCACTTGAGAATCCAGATACATTAACAAAATACAAAAGCGCGTCGGATATTGCACAAAAAGTGCTTGAAAAAATCAAAAAAAAATGTATTGATGGAGCAGTTATTCTAGATCTTTGCAAAGAAGGAGATATGCTGATTGAACAAGAAACAGCAAAAATTTTCAAAGATAGAAAGATTATGAAGGGTATATTACTTTTATAGAACGTTTATAGCAGTTAATAGATAATAGGTATTGCATTTCCAACATGTATTGCTCCGAACGAAATTGGGGCATATTTCTGCCCGTTAGCATCAGATCCAGAGTCATATAGAGTGCTTCAAAAAGGGGATTTAGTGAAAATTTCACTGGGTGTTCAAATCGATGGTTTTGCAGGACTTCTTGGAGATACAATAATAATTGGTAAAGAAGATATAGAGGGACGAAAAGCAGATGTATTAATGGCAACATACTTGGCATCAGAAGCAGCCATCCGTCTAGTAAAACCGGGGAATACAAATTGGGAAGTAACAGAAGCGATTGATAAAATTACAAGTAGTTTTGGATGTAAACCATGTGAAGGTTATTTTGACTATATTTTAAACAAAAAATAACAAGAAAAACCAGGAACTTTAACATATCAGCATGGAAAAAATATAATCAATGGAAAAAAGCAATTTATTCTAAACCCTAGCGAGAATCAAAGAAAACAACTTGATACATATACATTTGAAACGAATGAAGTATATGGAGTTGATATTTCGGTATCTACAGGTGATGGAAAAGTATACATTCATACTTTTATCATTACATTTTTATTTAACAAACAAATAGATACGAAGAATGGAGACACGCGCCAACATTTTTAAAAAAACAGATGTAACATATTCATTAAAATTAAAAGCCTCTAGAAGGGTTTTTACAGAGATTCAAAAGAAATTTGGCCCATTTCCATTTACTATACGAGCTTTAGAAGATGAAAAAAGAGCACGCATGGGTATTATGGAATGCACAAACCACAATTTATTTTCACCATACGAATGCATGTATGAAAAAGAAGGGGAATATATAGCACGTTTTTTCACTGTAAAATTGTTATATAATTGGTCCTTTATACTAACAATTTGTTCTAGACAATTGCATTGACAAAAAATGGCACACTTAAACTTGCAGGTCCAACAGCTCCTAATATAAACCAAATTAAGACAGAAAAAAGACTAGAAGATATGGTATTATACGATCTAATAAAAACACCGCTAAAGAAAAAAAAAACATCTTCTGTACTAACAAAAGTCACATTAACGGAGCCAATATCAACTTAAGACAACTCGTTACTCATCAAGCTAATAATGAAAGTCTTTTTTATAGAAAAAAAGAAATCAATAATTCAAAAGTACTGTTAATAATTTCATTTGACAGACTTAAGGGTTTTTCATAGGGAAATACGGATAGTAGTTTTTCAAAAAATGTTTAGAAATGAGTGGTAAAAAAAATCATTTTATACAAAGAAAGCAGAACATAGAACAACTACAGATGAATAAATGACGATCTGGGCTATTATCGAATTTTATGATGTTTTTAATCTATCTTTTTTATTTGTCCGACTCGATATCAACGTAATAAACGGTTTCCTCTATTTGTAGAAAACCAAAAGTTTAGAAAAAAGTGTGCAGGAAAAGGACGTAGCAAGAGATTATACAGGGATGCCCGAATTAATAGATAAGATAGTTATAAAATCAAGAAAAAGTGAAGGAAATCGTTTAAAAAAAAAAGAACTAGAACAAGAAAAACGGATAAAAAATACTTTAGAAGAAAAACAAATTGAGCGTGGATCACTAGATGATTATATTTACAATGATCCCCAGAAAGGGAGATTGACTATGGATGAATATGAAATGTTGAATTGGAGAAAAAGACGACATACAGAACGGACAAAATCACGTTCAAAAAAAACGCGTTTTTCAGAAAATAATGAGTACAAACAAGAGAAAAATACAGGAGGAAAAGTAAGACAAGTAAGATTAAAGGTGGGTGTGAATCGTAGCCCAGCATCAAGCTATTCTACATTTTTATCACTCAAATCATCGTCAAAAGTGCCGCGTACCGAAAATCCACTTTTCAAACCTCTTCATCTTTTTTCAAATACAAAAGGAATTTTACAATCATCTATTCGATCGACCAGTGATTTGGAACAAAAACTGTTACAAAAAAAAGATACTTTTAATAAACAAAAAAACAAGGAAACTCTGCATCTTTCTTCTCAACAAAAACCTACATTACTAAGACTTTCATCTTCAGCAATACCTGTCAAAAGGCGAAGGGTTGGGCGTCCAAAAAAGGTTAAATTCAGGTAATTCCATAGGGGTTTCTGTTAACCTTTTAATAACCTATTTTGTCTAGCCCTATTAAAAATTTCATGAAAAAAACAAAACTTGATATAGGAATTTCCGGAATATATACAAGAAACACAAATCACATGTCATTTCAAATGCAACCGTCATCACAAGAAGATCCTACAAAGGTAGGTGATCAAAATTCTATAATATCAGCTAATTTATTAGTATAACGAAGATTTTTGTTCCGCTTGTAAAAGATATGGACGATTTCTTTGTTGTGAATCATGTCCAAGATCGTTTCATTTTTCATGCATTGAGCCTCCTATTGATGAAGACGACCTTCCACAAGATGCATGGCACTGCACGCTTTGCAGGACAAAGAGAGTATATATAGGCTTATTAGTATCATCATCTATTAATTACTTTTAGTGTCCACCACCCAAACAGCCTCGAGGGCTTTTTGCTTTCCTAATGGAGTACATTATTAGAAATAATCCTAAAGAATTTAGCCTTCCTCTTAGCATTCGTGAATACTTTGAAGGAGGTTTTCCGCTTTTTTTGTATTAGAAATCATTTAGACTAATCCATTAAGTATCTACTGGTCCAGATGGAGAATACCAAGACCTGGTGGAACACAGGAATCAAAAGTGCGGGTAAGTATACCTATTTTCTTTTAAATTTGCTCAAAATATGCAAGTCGTCAAAAAATTTTTGAAGAAAGAGATCCATTTCAATTAGAGGACAAAGATGGTAACCCTATACTTTGCTACAAATGCTCTGAAAATGCAATGAATGGCAAAGCAATTGTCTCTTGTGATCACTGTTCGCTTCATTGGCATATTGATTGTATTGACCCACCTATGAGCGGTATACCTGCTGCATCGCGAAAATGGATGTGTCCAAATCATGCATATCATGTAACCGTAAGAATCGTTCCATTATTATTATTATTTATTTACTCTTTGTACAGCCTAAAATACGACAGCCTAAAAAATCGAAAATTTTAGATGTATGTTTAAAAAGGGGATTTAAGAATAATGGAAACATAGAAATTGATAATACAGAAGAGGAATTATTAGAAAAAAAGGAAAAATATTCATTTGATGATACGTATATTATAAATAATATACGATACCGGTTACCTGAAAGTGGAGTTAAGCTAGATTTTCTGGATAAAGTCAGAACGTATCTATCAATTAACTTAATTTTTTAAGAAGCTAATTTAAATATAGACTACGTAAATCTCAATTGTCTCAAAAATCCCAAATAAATAACAATAAAATTCAATCAAATACATTAAAAGTATTTTTTTGTAATATATTAAAAACAACTAATAAGAACAAGGAAATACTTCCGGATACATTAGGTCCACTAGAACGTGAAATCATTAAAGATTTAATACAACTTAGACTAGTTGAAGTTACGCCTCAAGATCATAAAAATCTTACGTCATTAATTACGATCGCTCAGGTAAGAAATTCTATTCTACTCTTTTAAAGCCAATATAAAGACAGATGGAGCTTGATGCTTTCAAAAATTATGAAAAAAACGAAAACTCAGAAAAAGATAATATAAAAACAGAGCATAAAATATCAGATGAAGAACATGCGCAAGTTCTTACAATAAAAAAATTAATAAAAATCAAAGGATATTCCGCACTTGTAGAATTTCTAACCACATATTAAATATCTAAATTAATTATATTTATGTTTCAAAAATTATAAACATATCTATTTAAATATATAAACATTTTATAATAAATAAAAATATAATATTCAATTTCTTATGGCTTACATCTTCCGGTAAACCTTGGATACAAACAACATTCTTTTACTGTATTTCTATTTGTCAACCATGCTAGAATTCTTTCTAAACCAAGTCCATAGCCACCATGAGGACATGAGCCATACCTTCTTAAATCAAGATACCTAAATTATTAGGAAAAAATAGAATAGAACTGATATAACTAACCAATAATACGGCCCCACATCAATCTTTTCCCTTTCAAAAGCTTTTTTTAACTCATCATAATCTGAAATCCGCATACTACCACCAACAACCTCTCCAATACCAGGCTTAAATCATCAGTATAAAACAATACATATAAAACAACATACAAGTAATAAATCAACACTTTCAGTTAACACTTCATTTCCAGGTATACGTTTCATATAAAATGATTTCAAGCTAGCAGGAAAATGTATCAAGAAAATAGGTTTTTGAATTTCATCAACAATTCTTCTTTCCGCAGCCTCTGCAATATCATCCCCAAACACATGAAGCTCTCCATTAGTGTTAAGGATATTGTGTTCATTACAATATTTAATAGCATCTTCATATTTCATTCGTAAAAAAGGTTTTTGTGGTTTTTCAAAACGAGGATTTAAATATTCTATTAAAGAACGTGCAAGAGAATTATCCAAAAGGATATCCAAGGAGAGACATAGCTAATAACTATTACCTAATTTCTGCAATATTATACATAACTCACGAAATCTTCTATATGACTCAAAAATTCATCAAACGATAAAAACATTAACTCCGCCTCCAGATGAGAATACTCCGAAAGATGACGCCTAGTATGAGATGTTTCAGCCCTAAAGCTTTCCTGAAGACAGTAAACATCGCCCAATGATGGTAAACATGTTTCTAAATATAACTGACTCGACTGTGTTAAATAAGCCTTTCATAAATTAGTGAAACATAAAAAACATGAAACCATATCCACCTTTTCTCCATAATAATTTAAATCAAACAACGTAGCACCACCTTCCACCTGCGTTTGTACCAAACATGGGGGAGTTACCTCTACAAATCCCATTTTTTCATAAACCTTTCTAAAAGCAGACAAAAGATATGAACGCACTTTTAAAACTGAACTAGAAGCTTCCCCACGAATAACAAGATGCCGTTGATCATAAATAACCTGTGACTCTGACTCAACGTTAAGTTTGTTAGCAAAAGAAAGATCTCCTCCAGGTGCCTTGTGAATAATTTCATAATAAAGGACATTTAATTCATGATTGTCAGGCGCTATCTTCCCATCAGGCAAAGACGTAATAGTTCCATACACTGTTAGTGTCGTTTCGAGTGTAAGTGTTAACGAATCATAGGTTTGTGCCTAATAATACATCAAAACTGTCCAAAAAAACGAAATTATCCTTCTATACAATCTTCCCACCCAAAACACATTGAAGATACCCTGTTCCATCCCGAAGAATAATAAAAATAAGTTCCTTCTGATGTCGCAAACGATGAACCCATCCTGAAATTTGAACAACAGTATCTTTATAAAGCTTAGAATCACGAATCCTGATTCTTACAGCTTCATCAAGACTTTTATTTTTTTCAATCACTATTTTTTCTGCTTGTTTTAATTTCTCAATTTCTCCACTATTTTCATCTTGAACTTTCATATGACTGAAAGCATCATCTAATTTCTGCTTCTTTTTTAAAAGAATACAAAGGGACTTCTTAGCCTTTTTCAAAGATGTCTGTGTAATTTCTTTGTACTCTTCCCCTGCACTTTTTCGAATATATATTAAACTTTCTTCACCTCCAATTTCAAGCGCTTTAACAGCCGTTTTAAAAGGATTTTCAATAGATCCAACTCCCAATTCATCAGACCCACTTATTTCATCAATATATAAGCAGTTTTTTTCCCCTAATTCTCCTTTTAATAGGTCTTTTTTCAATATCATTTTATTAACCTTTAAAATCTTGCTTCTCACTCATTTTTCAAGCTTTTTTCTCTGGATTTTTGGACAATCAATATAAAATTCAAAAAACAACGATTCTCCTATATTTTTTATCAGCAATTCTCATAGTTAAGTTCAATTTTTAACTTTAACCTCAATCTGTTTATTAGATCTTGACGTTCGGAATTCAACCTCAAAATATAAAAGAACTGAATTTCTATTAAAAGTTAGAAAAAATAAAGGTATAAACTGGAAAATAACAGTATAAAACGTTTCTAATAGGTTCTATATTAGGATTATTAATAGACTTTACTTTTTTCTAGTTTTTTAAAGGGTTATATAAGGATAGGTTTCTTAAGAACTGAAAAAAATATTTTAACCTTAAATCAAACTAAAGGCGTTTTTTAAGCAGTTAATAAGCATTTTTGTATATTCATATGTGGATATAGAAGAAATTATCTTTTATTTGGGGTTATATTTGTTGAAATTGAAAAAAGACAAAAATAATAATTTGTTTAAAAAATCTTTAATATTTTTAAATTCAGGGAGAATTCTTATAGAATACAAGAAATCGTATATATTTTTTGAGAATTGTACGATATTTTTATAAAATTAAAAGGGTAATATGCACGATGAACATAAAGATAATGTATTAGAGCATCATGAAACAACTATATCCCAAAAAGAGAGTTGTATAAAAACAAATAATAAGAAGGAGAATATCGATATAGTAGAAGAGTTTCCTACGAGTATGGAAGGGGTTAATTGCAATATTGTTAATCAACAAGGTTTTACAACGGTTGTTCCATCTCAACATCTTACAGCTTCACCTTCTGTTTCACATACACCATCATTTCCAGCACATGGACTTGGAGTTAGTTCCTATACGCAAAATTCGATGGGAAATACAGGTTATGCAGAAGTTGGGGCACCGGGGCTTTTAGACCCTCAATTTCCGCTATTTCCTCAATTTTATGGAAACATTCCTCTGTTAACAGATATTCCTAAACTAAGAAGAACAGTATTTCTAGATCTAAAAAGTAGTATATTTTTATTTAATTTTAATAGATATATATTGGAAACATTCCTAATGAGGCGACAGTTAATGAAATTTTATCACAAGTTAGAACTGGCCCAATTGAATCAGTTCGGCTTCTTCCGGACAAGAATTGCGCGTTTATTTCATTTCTAGAACCGTCACCAGCAGCATTATTTTATGAAGATGCAATAATGAAAAAATTAAGTTTTCATGGAAAAGAAGCGAAAATTGGATGGGGAAAGCCAAGTTCTGTATCGTCAACAGTGATGTTAGCTGTTCAGCAATCAGGAGCTACAAGAAATGTCTACCTAGGCAATTTGCCGGAAAATATTACAGAAGAAGAAATAAAAGAAGATTTAAGTAAATTTGGAACAATTGACCAAATAAAAATTGTTAAAAATAAAGGAATTAGTTTTGTTCACTTTCTTAGTATATCCAATGCGATGAAAGCTGTTCAACAACTTCCTATGGAACATAAATGGGCAAATCGTAAAATATCTTACGGAAAAGATCGATGGTATATATATTATAAACATTAATATGTTTTTTTCTGATAATTTACAGCGCACAATCTTTTAGGCATCATTCAACAATTCCACATGATCATATCCTACTAAATAATCTTGGTATGAATCATTTAACGTCTCAGATGACTACTATGAATTTAATTCTTCCTAATTATACCAATTATCATGATTTAGGGCATTCTTGTCCCGATTCACACTCCATAATAGGAAATAGGACAGTATATCTAGGAAATATTCATCCAGAAACAACTGTTGAAGAGATTTGCAATGTCATTAGAGGTGGAATCTTACATAACATCAAATACTTCCCAGAAAAACATATATGTTTTGTTACATTTGTCAACCCTGCATCTGCAATGCTGTTTTATAATGTATCTGTAGCTCAAGGCCTTATTATCCATAATAGAAAACTAAAAATTGGATTTGGGAAACATTCAGGTCTTTTACCATCATCTATTGCAATTGCTGTTACTTCAGGCGCTACTAGAAATATTTATATCGGTAATACTAATGAAAATATAACCGTGGTTAAACTTAAAAAAGACTTTTCTGAATGGGGAGAAATTGAACTAGTTAATATGCTAAGAGAAAAAAACTGTGCTTTTGTAAATTTCACAAATATAAGTGATGCATTAAAGGCTATTGAAGGCATTAAGACTAAGGAAGATTATAAAAGATTTAAAATTAATTTCGGTAAAGACAGGTATCTATAATATATCAAAAAGTATATTTTTTTCAATACTTTCATAGATGTGGGAATCCTCCGAAGCAAATTATTAACCAAAATGATCACATAGCATTGTCTCAGCCTAGGATTACACGTACAGGATTTAATATGTTTCATCCATCACCAGATATTCCATTTACTACAAATATCACGAACGCAACACATTCTGAAGAAAAGTTTGTAAATGAAATTCCTTATACTAATTATCCTCCAATTGAAAACAATGGAAATATTGATACCTACCCAAAATCGCTTTCTCCTATATTATACAATTCAACAACTTATAATGATTCTTCAACCAATAATGGAAAAAATAATCAGCTTACTTATGAAATAACACACGATCATAAAATAAATGAAGCAAATTAGGACTGATTTCCATATTATTGTTTTGGATAATAAGCTATATCTTATAAATATTGTTAGCTTTATAACATTTTCTATAAGAAACCAAATCTACATTAGATTTTAGTATTAAATCGTCAAAATATAGAAATCCCAGCAACCATACTAAGCATCCTATTCTGATGTACATGTGTAGCTAATGTAAAAACAATTAAATTTAATATTATCTTTCAATATTATATGAAAAATATCAATAGCGCATAATTATTTCTAGAAATTTCAAACATTAAAGATTATGGACAGCTATTCAATATATTTCTACGAAATAATATATACTTTTAAATTATGCACTTCGAAATACAATATTATAACCATATCTAAATATAATCTAACAAAACATCTTAATAGCATTTAAGCTATTAATCTTTATGAAATCGCAAATAATCATATAAATAATAATAATTGATCAGCTGGCCATCGATATAACCACTTCCTTCTATATAAGAATGTTTTGTTTTATTCATAAAACCTAATACAGAAATTTTTCCTGTTCCACAATTCCAAAAGTCTCTGCAATTTGACAGAATACCATTATTAAATGGATTCTTAGTCTTATTCATCAGAGATACAGACTTTGATGAAAAAATAGATATTATTTTTAAAAAATGATGAATACCCAGAAATTTTGATAACATTGAAAACATACGATATCCTTTCTTATGAGAACAATAATGATGATGCGGGGCATCGTCATTTGAAAAGGTAGACCTCAAAATATATGCAGCATCTTTTCTATAAAAATCCTTCTCAATTTCACCCATAAAACCATATTTATCCAAATTTCTTGCCTCGCTTGTAGTTATAGAAAATGAAATCTGAAATAATTGCACAACTAGCAATAATGTAACCCAAATAAGTTGCAAGAAAGTCCATAATGCTAATACAAATGTAAAAGGATCCAACAAAAAAGGTTCACAAAGCAATTTCAAAAAAACGAAACAGTTTTTAGACAATTCCGGAGAATATAAAACCTCAAAATCTAAGAATCAAGTAAAAGAAAGTACATAAGAAATAAAAACATACGAATAAGTAGCAGTCGAAGAAAAAAAACAATACCTATTTGCACCATAATAATATAAACTATAAACAATCTATGATTCCTTAAACCTATACAATTCCCTGTCCAAGGACAATGGCTAGAGAGATTAGCTTTTATAACATACATCCATTATATACTGATCAAAACGTGCAACACATCTTGAACACACTTTACAATGCTTACTTCTCAACGGTTTTCTTAAATAGCAAAAGATACAGAAATGCTGTCTATCAAACGCCCTTTCTTTAATCAAATCCTCTATCACTTCCCTTTGTTCCTTGATTCCTTGAGGTTTAGGTATATATCCAGGATTTGAAAACATAACATAGAAAAAAAAGATAATTGAAAAACAAGCAACAATAAAAAACAAAATATTAAAAAAGGGACTATTCTTCCATGTATCTGAAATTATCAGAACTATTTTTTTTTGAAAAGAACATACTTTGAAGTAAAACAAATATCCAGCGAAGAATAACCCAGACTAATGTTCCAAAAAAAATGCCAGAAAAATATTTCTATAGAATTAAATGATAGAAAAAAACATAATACTTAGCCTACAGTTTTATGTATAGTAAGAAAGGTATCATATTCAATTGAAATAACTTTAACAAAGAACAGATGAAAACCTATAGAGAGAGAGAATGCAAGAGGAATAGAAAGAAATACAGGAAAAATAGTAAAAATCCAGAATAAAAAGCCAAAGACAAAAAATGGAGCAAAAAATAAGACTACATTGGAACTTTTCTAAAAGATCAAAATTATATTTAATAAATATCAAAACTTACAAAACCTAATAATCGCCTCTTCAATTTACCAGAAGCATCCCTTCCAACTTCCTTCAACACACTTTTCCAAAGAGCAGTACGATTCATTTCTTCAGCTATTTTTTCAGCAGTTTTACCGTTATGTTCTTGCACCAACAGATCTGAACCAAATTCGACTAATTTTTTAATACATAATTTATCACCTAAAAAGACCATAAGTATAGATGTAAAAATGCAAAAATATTTTCCTTTGACAATTGCCCAATGAAGAGCAGTCATTCCCTGTTTATCTTGCAATTTAACATTTGCACCCCAGCGAAGAAGTATGTCGACAATTGATATATCTCCATTATACGCCGCCCACATAAGAGGCGTATGACCCCTATAATCTAAACAATCAATCTGTACATTTTGATGAAGAAGATAAAGAACAAGCATCACACTTGATCGATGAGTTGCCAAATGAAGCGCTGTAAACCCTTGTAAATCTGTTAAGTGCAATGATGCGCCGGACTGATAAAGCATATCAACCATATATACATGACCTTTTCTAATTCGATTTAATTACTTTATCAAAATATCATTAAATTAACTTTGCTGCCCAATGAACCGGTGTTGCACAAAGTTCACCTCCTTGTACATTTACATCGACCCCATTTAACAGAAGATATCGTCCAACATTTAACTGATCACTAATAGAAGCCCAGTGTAATGCTGTAACACCTTGATCATCTGATATATTTGGCATAACTTCCCCCGATTTACACATATATTCAACCAAATTCAAATCACCTTCTCTTGATGCAGCAAAAAACACATTCAAACATGATACTTCTTTCCTCAATAAGCCTCTTTATTTTTTTAAAAAAAAATCAAAACCTTGATTTTCTTGTTTCCTATCAATACTTAACGCTTTTTCTTGATTCAACTTGGCAAACGCTAAGTCTGACTTCGGAAGAACAAATCCTGATAATTGAATGTCGTTATCACTTAAGAAACTAGACTTGTTCATCATAAATTCAATTTAAATAATATCTATTTAATTGTTAAGACCGATAGCACTTAAAAATTCAATAAAAATAATTATTAAAGTCCTTTAAGTCCAAACAAACTAATAACAAGACCTCAATCCTTCTAGAAGCAAAGAAATCTATTTAAAATAAAAATATTAAACATGTTTAATGTTTTTGATAAACTTGTAAAAAATAGAACCAAGAAATAAAAAATGATTAAGTAGCTCAAAGATAGAAATAAATATGAATTTTAGAATAAAATAATTCCAGCAGAATAACTTTAAAAGGAAAATAAAATCTAATTAGTTAGAAAAAACGTGACATCCAATTTGTCCAAGGAGAAAGATGATCATTTTTTACACTACCAGTTAAAACAGCAATATCAAAACCTTCTATATTATTTAGATGGATAGTTTTTTCAGAATTAAGCAACCAATCATCATCATCATCAATTTCTTTATCAATTTCAGCAATACCTCTTAAACGAAATAAAACAATCTCTGACAACTTTTCTTCAATAATAGATGATATTTTTGTACAGGGAAGAGACGTAAATAAATCTTCTTTATTAGCTGCAATCAAAATATGTCTAATTTTCTTGGAACGAGCATCTTTTAAAAGCCTATAAAGCTGATAAACAACATGATCCGCATTCTTTATCATAGAAGATGAATCTATCATAAAAACAATGCATCTAATATGCTTAATTTCCGAAAATAAATGATAAAATTTCAAATGTCCAGGAAAATCAACTAAAATCACTTTTTTACCAGGAAAAAAACAACAAACAGCTTCATTCAACTGTGTTGATGTATAAGCCTTCTGTTTATGACCATAACAAAGCTTTTAGGCTCATTTTTAGCACAAAAAAAGGTAAAAAGGTGATATTACTTTTGTAAAAAAAGATGTTTTTCCTGAGCCTTGAACACCTAAAATTACTATTTTTTTTAAGCTCTTATATCTCCAAAAAATCCTCAGAAAAACCAGTGAAATAATCAGGCAAATTACTGTAAAAAAAGCTGCTATCTCTACCTGAACCATTTAGAAGAGCTCAGGTAATCGTAACGAGATCAGGTGATATGATAAAGGTAGGATAAGAGATAAAATGAAAATACAAGAATATTACATTTTCTTAATATTAACAACTGAATAACATCAAAACAAGATGATATTGGTATCATGACAAAGTGTTTCTTAACCTTTGCTCTACTCGAGTACGATGATAACGGTTTTTTAAATGAATTTCAAAATTTTCAACAGTTAAAGAAGGCCCAGGGATGTATAATTTACCTGGACAATCATTGCAACGAATACGTACAACAACATCGGAAGGATCATTTCCTTGTCGAACAAAACCTTCAAAAAGATCATTAGGGTAACGTTGACGAAGAATATCTAAAGCAATAACAAGCCATTGTGGAAGCTAAAAAATTAAATAAAAAAGAAAACAAAAGAAATATAAGAACTTACAGAAGAAGAACCGATTGAAGGAGATAAATGAGATTTATTATCTAACATATTTACCAAAAAATCTTTTAAACGAGGTATTTTAAATTTTAAAATAAGCCGTTGAGGTAAAGAAGGACTCATTGATGGAGAATAAGCATTTTGTTGAACAGGAGTTCTAGTCCGGATATCACGAGAAAGTAAAGGCGATCGTTGTCTTTCGTTTAACAAACTATCAAAATCATCATCATCATTCAAACCAGGGATCGGCGTTTTATTAATTCCATATTGATCAATATAAAAGTTTTCCGGAACTAAGACACTATGTACAACGGGCGTTCTTTGTGTTCTAGGTCGTTCATTAAACTCGGGTAATTGTATACCTCTACGAGCCCGAATCTGTCGTCGCTTACGACGTGCATCACGTTCATTTTCTTTGTTTTGTTTCTCTACTTCAGATTCCGAAAGTTCATGTAAAACAGGAGAATATTCATTTAACATTTCCAAAGGCCGAAATATACACGAAACTGTAGGCAATATCATAGTCTTAATATCCTCATCTTCAACAGGCCTACCGTCAAAAGTATATCCAACAAGAAATAGTGATTTCGTATACATTTGTGCTTGTTCCCTAATAGAATGAGCGATAGCCGTTCTGAAGCCAAATCAGCCTATAATACAGAGCAGATTATCCATATTATACTTAAATTCTCCTGTTAAAGCTAAATCGAGACACATTCTCTCTGCAAAAACCTCTGGATCATTATAGGGATTATTAATATCCCATTCAAAGGTATCAACCAAATTATATTGAGCAATAATAATATCCAACTTAAATACTATTCATTTTTGAACCAAAAAATAATAAAAAAGCGCACCTTAACTTGAATTCTCATATCATCATCTTTATATGCCGTATAAGGTAAATTTGGCTCCAAAAACTCTTCCGACATCTCCGTAGCATGAAAAGCATCGTTCAAAACATGATGTTGATATTCATTTACCTGATCTGTAATACATTTTGCAATTGATGTTGCAAAATGTGGATGAGGCGGTAAACTAAAATCTTCACATAATACTTCTGCAAATTGCTCCGGAGAAATAGACATTTCATACATATTCCACGTAAACGTATCCCGTAACCGATACCGATCCGAATCTACATCAATACGTACAGGTACTAATAACTCTGGACATTCTGACTGATGTAACATCGTCTCTCTTGGACTATACAATAAAACGTCAAAAAAAATAATAATTCCCTCCTTAAAACTAACATTTTGAATCTTCTAGCCTTATTTTTCATTGCCCTTTGTTCACGAGGATATAACATCCGAGGTTTAATTCCAGTCCATCCATTACCATATCCTGAATAACCCGGCCCAAAAACCTGAATAGAACCTTCAATACCCGACAATCTAAGCTTCTGAATCCTGCTTAAACGATATAGTTCTTCTTTTTTCTGATGGATAAGCTCTAACTGTCGTTCTTGTTGCTCTAATAAAATCTGTTGATACGCCTCATCCCGTCGTTCAAATTCGTTCAAAATTTCATTAGTGTTTCTTATACATTTTGCCTCCATATTAAGTCCTTTTCTATACAATTTTTATCATTTCTAAATGCCTGATAAAACCTTATAATATTACACAATATCCTATATGTTTTAAGCCCAAGTTTAAAATTTTCGATATAGATTTTTTTGAAAAAATTATTTATTAAATTTTGAATAATAAATCAAGATAAAGAGCCATTAAAAATATATTATTAAGACGAGGGATATCGAGAGGATCAGTGTAGTGTTTTTTTTCTAAAAAAAAGACGAATTTTAAGTGATTTTAGATGTATTTAATGTATTATCCAGACAAAGATGGAAAACGTAAATATACTCTTCAGAAAGTCACGGATTCAGGAAAGAAAACATTGTCAGCACATCCTTCAAGGTAATTTTCTACTAATAAATAAGATATTTTTTTTTTAAGAAAAAAGATTTTCACCAGATGATAAATATTCACGACATAGGATTACATTAAAAAAGAGATTCGGTTTATATCTAGCACAACTTCGTAAACCATCAGTTAGTTTTGGATACAATGTTGACGATTTTTAGCTCAGAAACCCTTTTAAAATAGTAAAAATTAATGTTAAAAAAGTAGTATGTTAAATAAAAAACCATAAAATTATGAAATCAAAATAAGCAATAATAATTCCTTAAGAAACAGATACTTGCATGAACCATTGTCGAAGTGCATTTGCCAAGACCTGAGGTAGCTCTTTTACATCTCTAACAATCAAAAAATGATCGAAAGCAAATTCATCCATGTAATGAATAATTTCTAGTGAAGTTGACCCATCGCCCATTGTTTTATAACGAACTTGTTTCATATCTAGTAATGAAGTGGTCTTTTTCTCATGAATTATATCAATAATCACAAAAATAACCATAATTTTTAATTCACGAGCCTTTCTTAATAAAAGCCTTAAAGAATCATGATCATCACATATACCATCAGATACAATAATTTCTAGCTGCCATAATTCAAGGGCAGATTTAATATGAAGAGTATTTTTCGCATTGTTAAACATATCTATTGAAATTTCTGTCAATGCTTTAAGATCTGTTGTTGATTGATTAAATTTAAATTGTCTAACCAATTTTGCACCCGATTGAGAAGTAAAAGGTTCTTTAAAAGGATGTATCAATAAAGGCTTATCTCCAAAGCTCATGATACATATCTCTCCTACTTCTAACAGAGAAAGGGATTTTGATATAAGAGCAAGGGTTTCAAATGCTAAATTCATTGATCCAGATTCAGCCATTGATCTAGAATCATCCATGCAAATCATAACCTGATATTGTCGTTTGCTAGGTTTTGTACGTCTCATCCAAATTTTATCTTTTCTATATTGACTAGCAATATAAGGGATAATACGTCTCATATTTAATCTTTTGCCAGTACGATAATCTCCTTGCATTTTTGTAGCTAAAGTTGGCTCAAGAATTAATCTTAACTGCTCACAAAGATGAATAGATAAATCATGAACAGAATTTTCATGAATTCTCCATAAATTTACAGCATCATCAACAGATATAAGATCCAAAGAATCAGATAAAGTATGAAAATAAGTATCACCTAAACTTTTTTCATGTAAATTAGTCATATTTTGTAAAGATACTTCATTTATATTTTGTTCCATATTAGTCATTTTTTGATAGCCTATTTCAGCGCCAGAAATATCTGAGTCAAGATTCTCAACATCTGTTATTCTTGAATCAACATAAGAATAGCTTATTTTTTCTGTATTTAGATCATAATTATTCATATTATACGGATTATCTTTTTCCATATCAAAATCATTTTTTTCCTCTTTTTCAGGTAAAAAGCCCACTACTTGAGCATCTCCTTTAAAATCGCTATCCTTCATATATTCATATTGATTAACATCTTCATTCAACTCATCATTATCAAGTGAATCGTCATGATTTTTTGAGTCAGAAATATCGTTAATAATTCTATTCCATTGTTCAAGAACATTTCCAAGACTTCTATACGAATCATTTAATGATTCAGTAAAATCAAATTCTTGCTCTTTTTCAAAACCAGCGCTATTTCCTTGATATTTACTATCATTATTTTCTTTCGAAGTACCGGGTTTGTTACAAGTCAATTGACCATACTTAACTTCTAATTTCATACCATTTTCATTGCCCTCATATTCTTTATCAAAACTCTCATTATTTTCATACTTTTTGTGAAAATCTTCATTCGTACTTAAAACAGCAGAATCATTTTTATCAACAAGATTTTCAACTAAATAGTTAAGAACTTGATGATTCCCACCTTCTTCAAAATCTTTTTCTGGATCATTATCTATAAAATCATCTTTGTTTCCATCATTATCCATAAAATCATCTTTATTTCCATCATTATCCATAAAATCATCTTTATTTCCATCATTATCCATAAAATCATCTTTATTTCCATCATTATCCATAAAATCATCTTTATTTCTATCATTATCCTTAATATTTTCTTCATGCTTATCAAGTATGATTTGTTTATCATCACTCGAATCAATTTGAGAATCAGCTTCAGGTTTATTTACAAGATCATTTTCACTCTGAAAATCATTATTAACAAAATCTGATTCATTATAATCCAATTTCTGATGGCTCATGTCCAAATAACTATTATTATCAGATGTGTTATCTTTATCAGTATTATCGTCTAAGTGAAGATTTTCTGGCAAATCTAAAGGATCTATATGATCTATACCTTCATTAAACTCGCTCTTTTCAACATTTTCCAGAGTCTCTTCATTGTCGATTATTTCATCATGTTTTTTATCATCATTGAGATCATAATCTTTCTTGGGGTCTAGAGGCATCTTTTCTTCATATTCCTGAGGATTAGCTCCCATTTTATTTCCATCGTTATTCAAATCTTTACTATCAAGTGCAATGTCATTCTTTGATTCATTATTTTCTTTATCCCAGAATTCCTCATTTACAGTAGAAGAATTCTGATAATCAATTTCTCCAAGCTCGTCATCCAAATTCTCATCATTAAAATCTTCACTGGAATAAGTATAATTACTTTCTGATACAGTATCATCAAAATCATCATCAGCTTTTATATCATCACCCATATTAGTATAATCATTTTTTTGAGAATCCATATTATCTAGATTATTAAAATTTTCATTATTATCGTGATCATTTATTGTATCTTCAACACCATTACCATTAACTAATTCAGTTCCTTCAGTAACACTATCTTTTTCATTAATAGTATTTTCAACTGGAGTACAAAAGCCTTTCTCAATCAACGTATTTAAAACAAGTGAAAATAAAAGAACAGATTTTGTCAAAGACTTATGATAACCCATAAAATTCTTCAAGATATATTCACAAATTACTAAATATTGATTCAATATTGGTGCAGATAAACAATATATTGCTTTTAAATTAAATAAAATTTGAATATTTGAAAAACCAGATGTATTTAAATCATTAATATCAGTTATAAGCCTATCCAATAAACGATTGATATTTTCTATTTCAAGAACACTTAAAGAACTAAGTAAGAACTTGTGCTTTTTCAAAAGCCAAGAGTCTTCTAAAATACCATCAGGACTTTGTTTTGTATCAAGAGACTTCGTATCAACTAATTTTTGAATAATCAAACATATTTTATCGGACAAGTTCCTCATGAATATATCTAATTCCAAAGAGATATCCTGATTTTCAGAAACATCTAAGTGAATCAATTTTAAAGAATCCATATTATCCTTAATCCAAGTAAGAATAGGAGTAACCAGATATGCACAAGGTGTAGATTGAATAGAATATGAAAACATCTTTTCAAATATCTTTTCCATCCATATCATAAAATTAGAAACAAAAGTATCACAAAATTTATCAATAACAATTCTATTTTGCCCACCCAAAGATTCAAATTCAGCAATAAATTTTTCAATATCATTATTAATTAAATTAAAATCATCCTCTAATTCATGCAACAATGAAATAAAACAAGTATTCAAATGAGTAGCTCGAATATCCTCCAAAATTCCAATAATATTTTGTATATGTTTCAAAAACGATCTAGATCTATCATATATATATTTAGTTTTTCTATAATTTTTTATAAACGAAATGTTTTCTTCAAATGTCATAGTTTCCAAAAAAGATAATATAGACAAGTTTCTTTCAATATGCTGTATTTTAAATAAAGTTTCCATAAGAGCCGATCTCTCTAACAAAAGCATATAAAACAATGAATTCAGCAGTCCACATGAACGTGAAATTTCATTTACACTTATATCATTAGAACATTTACTTTGAGATCGATGAATTTTAGAAATAAAAGTAAGAAGCTGATAAAAATGTTCATTAATAGTCCTTATAGACGAAGCACTTTCTTCATTTTTTAACTTAATATCATAATATGGAATATTTGTTAATAAATTATTAATATTAGTAACCTTATTAATAACAGGTATACTCGGATTTATTTTAAGACCCATTCTCTTTAATTCAGCAATCGTATCGAAAAAAAGCTTTTTTTTTCTTGTTTTTAAGTAACTTATTTCCGATTTTGAAACATTATCCATAGAACTTGGTGTAAGATTTTGTAATTCCTTCATATTCTCAACAACATTTATTGTAAATAATTCAAATGGATTCTCACAAGTCGAATCCTGCCCATATTTCTGAATAACAATAGACCACATATTTCGAACAGTATTCATAATATTTCTATGTCTAGGAGGTGCATCTAAACGATATGTAAAATTAACAGACTTACAATAATCTAAAGACCATTTTAACAATTCCTCATTAACAAATACCAGTTCTAGTTGAGAAAGATCACAAGAACTATTATGTTGAAAATTTAGCAACAATGATTCTGTACATGGTTCAGTTAAAATAGAGAAAGAAGATAAAGAAATAAGTTCCCTATATTTTTTAACGATTTTATATAAAGATCGATGCGACTTTCTTGAACTTTCCTTCAAAACATAAACATTAGTGTCTTTCCAGCTCATTAATTGAATAGTTTCTCTTATACTCTTCTCCAAAGGTCTTTTTCCTTGATAAATTGCATTTCGAATTTTAGGTAAATATGATGAATATAATGCAACAAGATTTTTAAGAGCAAATAGAATCCTTTTTTCCGAGAATTCAATCTTTTCAAGAACATCTAGATGACATGAAAAGCTATGGATGAGTTCTAAACGTTTCTCAAATTGACCCAGAGGAGAACTAATTATAAACTGCTCCAATAAAGAAACCAATTCATTTCTATATTTTTCTAAATCATCAATTGAGGATGAAGGCGTAGATTTTTTATAAATCAAATTCTCATAAAGATAAAACCACCAAACTACTGTTTCATTATATTTCTCTTTATCTTCCAGTTTAAATAAGTCATTCCAGCAACTTAATTCAAATTTCCTCCATGTTATAATTAAATTCTTTATATTTTCCATATTAATATCAAGTGAACATTCAGAACCTGCTATTTTTTTCCATTCATCAATAGTACTATATAATTGCTCCAGTGCTATAAGTGTTTGAGAAAGAGGATCTTCTATTCCTGATTT